AAAATGCTTGGGAGATATAATTGGATTTCTTTGAGCATATCCTTGATTTTTTTTCTTATTAAAAACAGTGTCATTAAGGATAGATTATACAACTTCAATGTATGGCGTCAACTTATGGCGTGAAAACTAACAAGCAAACTAAAAACAGTGTTTCTAAAATAAATGACTCAAATTTACTGACCAACCTTAAGTGATTCTATCCAATTTTGTTACTCTCTAATTAGATCTGTAATTTGAATTCAGATTTATTGGTTTGGAGGAGTCATAATTTGTTTCTTTTAGTAATCAAAATTTTAATTTATATGCTAAGCATAGCTCAGTCTTACTACTGATTTATGAAATCATTTTGAGAACTAACATTTAAACTACATATATATAAACAGGGCTCTCATTTTTCTATACATTTTGAGAAAAGTTCTTCTAGTTGTAGCTAAGATTATTTTTAATGTATCATTCTTTGTTTTGTAAATTTGATTTAGGGTTATGTTCCACTTCACTACGTGTAAATGATTCAAAGGTTCAAGTACTAACTACGTAACTAAAAAACCACTAAATGTTATATTTTGAAATCTGTGTTGACTTGAAGATAGCAAGCTTGCTTCCATAAGGTTAGTTTTACACAAAATTTGTTCCTAACAAATGCAATGAAACTCGTTCCAAAGAACATATTTTTTAACAGAACTGGTTAAGTTTTGGTGCATAAAATTGATTTTTTCTAAAATAGAGAAGGGAATAGTCTTACACAAAAGATTTTCAAACATAAACCAATTGATCATAGAGCTAGAGAGTGCCTAAAACATTGATAGTTGTAATTTTAAAACCATTAGGTTATTAAACTGGCTAGATCTGCACAGAGAAATGTTCTAGAGAAAGCAGAGGCCTATCCTGCACTATTGTGCTGACGACGATGATCTTTAATGTGTACAGACGGAGAGGAAAAAAAGTAATCAAATAACTTATTTTTGATGCTGTAGATTTGTATAGCCCCTTCAGTAGTTCATGAAATGCCTTTGATTGTTTTTTTTTATATTTAGAGATTTTAGTTTTATGAAATCTGAGAGAGAAAAAAATGTGCCTGCTTTAATAATGTGTTAAGTGGCTGACTCTTGCCGTATGCATTATTTGTTTCAGCTACCAATGTACATTTAAATACAAACTTGCATCTCTTGTATGTGATGTCTTGTTGAAAATTTTGAAATATATTAAAAGAATTAACTTGAAAATTATGTTTTGAGATATATTTCCATAGTCTTTTCTTTTATGCTGACATGTTTTAAATATTAAGAAAGACATACATTTATTCAACCCTACAATACATCAATTCTTCTCTAAAGTTGATAAATTTATTTTAAAAAATTTTTAGGCAGTCTTAGAAATTTTTTCAAAAAATGCATTCTATGTCATAAAACATGATAAAGTAATTTGCTACAGAAGTAAAGAGTATTTTTTCTTTCTTATTAGAAAAAGAATAAGATAGAAAAGTAAAATTTAAATGTATTTTAGAGTTAATTTTATGCATACTTTTGCTGTAATTAATTTTTATTTGTTAATTTTATTTTAAGTTCTAGTTTACAGTATTTTTAGGTCAAAATTATTTAGTTTATCTTTTACTGAAATCTTTCAACTTTATTTTATTCTGTCCACTTTCTTGAAATGCCTGGGTCCTAGCTAAAAGTTCCTAAAGATATAAGGATTTTTTTTAATTAACTTCTATTTTAAATTAAATATTTCTGAATCCTTTTTTCCCCCCTATCTTTTATCCCTTAACATGCTTCTATCTTTCCAGAACAAAAGTAAATCTGGAACAGTATGAAAAAGTAAGTAAGTCTTGAACAAAACTAAAGTCTGCATTGCTCTCTAAGTGTAACAGTTATTGCTGTTACTTTATTTTATAACCAGTGGCTATCAGCTGATTCACGCAGTTGATGTGTAACTTTTATTGTTCTTTCTCGCATCCTTGTAATTTTGAATTAATTTCTAAGGACAAGAAAACTCTCCAATCTTGCCTTTGTGAAAGATTTAATGGGTGCAAATTCATTTATGACCAGCTGCTATTGTGTCCTTGAAGCCCATCCAGCTTTATAACACTTTCTTGTCTAAAAAGTAAAGGCGGCTGGTGCTTATAACTGACCTACATCATGTTGTTGGTCTTGAAATTGTGAAGCCTTAACCTCTATGACCTTCATAGCCCAAAAACTTGCTACTGCATTTTTTTTTTACTGTGAAGGATGAGAATAGTATACTAATTGACAAGCTATTGAGTTGTACTCGAGTTTATTAAATAGGAAGTGAGTGCTGTATCTGCTTAGCCAGAGATTCTCAATTTGTGGACCATGGGACGTCTTAATGTGGTCCGTGAGTGTTATTAAAATAAGCATTGCAAGCAATTATTCAATTTGGATGCTCCATTGAAAATGCTATTTTTATCCATTAAGGTAAAAATTAGAGCCAACAATAAGTTTGGGGCTAAATTAAACATATTCAATGTTTAAAAACTGATTTCTGTTGTCCTGATGAAGGTTGCCCTTTGAGCATCCGAAACAGCTGTCTGCATTTAATAATATTTTTGTGCTCTTTAACGTTGTTTCCTTAGTTTATATTCAATGTTTATTAAATTATTTCAAAGGATTAATAGTAATCTCAGGCCTCTTGTTCAGAAACTAGGATAAGACTATCTTTTCTTAAGTATACAGGGTGTTCCAAAATTATCTTTACATCACCTGGCTTGAAATTGATTACAGACTGGAAGTGCTTAGGGCCACCAATGGTGCGTATGTTGAAGTGTACTAAACAAAACTTTATTAGTTGCAGTAATACATGCAAAAGACAGAATATAAATATCTTGTTTATTTTCGAAGTTATGAATTTTTGAAGTTGTAAAGAGAATTTTAGAGGAAATGCCTCATTCAATATTTTATTGTCATACTTTTGCTATTGGGGCAACATAACCTTAAATAATATATTCTGTTTAGTTTATGTGTAATAAACGATATAGGTTTTTATTCATTTTCTTGTTGGTGATTTGGTAAAGCATCTAGTATTCCTTAGGTTATGAAAAGATTGAGAATTACTGTCTAATCTGTCTTGACTTATCTCCCTTTTTAAATCCAAACTTTACTGTTTTTCCAATTCATATGCAATGTTATGTCAACCATCTGATAGAATAAGTCAAGTGAGCTTGTAAACAGTTTTTATTTACTATTGTCCCAGTTTTTATTTACTATTTGCCAAGTTGAAGTTTTAATGATGGAGGAACAAAAAATTGATGGTTAAATGTACTCAGGTTTGTTGCCATTGAAAGAGAGTGTTATGCATGATATTATTATCTACACAGATTAGCACCTCAAATAGTACACTAGCGTTTGACTTGATTTTGTTTACCAAACAAATTAAATTTAAAAGATGAATATTTTAATAGAGAATCGCAATTGTTTATAAATGTTTCAACTGATGTCCTCATATGAGTATAATTTCTGTTTGATTGAGTAAATCTATATCTCTTAATACATCCAACCCAGGGCGCCCCAAACTGGTGTTCCACCTTGAACTGATTGTATGGCATGATTCCCAGTAGATCAAAGTCAAGCATCAGTGAGCAGATGGGTGATGACTTTTACCAGCCTGCGAAGAGACAGAGGGTGCGTGTTATAGGTCCTCATTAAGCTGTTCTGTGGTAAAGTGCTCGACTTCACACTCAGGTGGTACGGATGCCAAAGTGCAGGAGTCATTCCCTCTGAGAAGAATGAAAATTATGATTGCATGTCTTCAGATCATCTTTGGCGATTTTCCCCAGACCATTGCCAATAGCCTATTGTGCAGCTCAAATGTTACAAAGTACTGCTACTACTATGTGCTCTGTAGAAAACTTATCTCCTGCTATCTTATATTTGTTGATGGACCGCAATGTCAAATTGGCCAACATTTTCATTGAGTAGGAATTGTGTACTTAAGTGTTTATCAGATATCAAAATGATTTAGATGAGTCTTTCTTTGCTAGATAAAAGTACCACAGCCATAGATACTAAAAACAGAGTTTGGCCCTTCAAAAGAAAAATTCAATTTTGGGTTGAATCTGTTGAAAAGAGGGAGATGGAGTGTTTTCTGCTGTTGAATGGTATATTAAAAGAAAACAATATGGAGCTTGCTAACAGAGTCTGTAGAGTTAGAGCTTTCTAGCTCCTTCATTGATATAATATGTGTCCACTCTCAATGTTTGAAGATGTCCTTTGTCCACCACTTTCCAACAGCTTGGGATACAATGCTGCAGGACTATGAACTGTATTCAGTTTTGACAAAGCCTATTAATCTATCCTGATGTAAATGCAGTTGTTGTCATCAGGCTCCAGGTTGATACCACCAAAACAAAATACAGCTTCTGTATTTAGTTTAGTTCTATTTATGTCTGGAAGCTGAATCAAACATACATTTCCAATTATCAAAAACATTTATGGGTCCCAAGATGAAATTTATTGGATGTCCCTACCTCAAAAAGTTTTATTTTCATGTTTGGTAGAATTTTTAATGAGCTTTAATTCAAAATTATAGTTGTTGTTACATTATCTCATATGTATAAAAAAAATTCTATGCTTTTTTTAAAAAAAAATATAATGAGGACATTTTTAGTTAGGAATTTTGACCGAGCTCCAGTCTTCTCACCCGTGACAATAATGTTCACCTTCTAATATTTTAAACAAGAACAACCATTTGCAAAGGTATGAGCTGTGAATCGCTTGGGTAACATTTGGCTAACTAAGAAAAGTTGCAAATTTGTTTTTTAAAGCTTTTTACTGTGGTAACAGACTTAGATTAACAATAAGGATCGTACCCTTGCAAGATCTTTACAAAGTATAGAATTGCCTTAATGTCTGTGAAATTAAAAATGAATTAATCTGTGTTAAAAATTGCATCACCATTGCTCAAATTTATTATTAACTTTGCATTCTTTTAATTTGTGAACCAAGATCAAAGCCTAGTGTTGCTTAAAAAATAAAACAATTAAAGCCGAATAACAGATTTTTTTTATTTATTATTTTCTAAAACAGTAACTGTCAATACTTCTTCGTTTTTCAGACTAAATTCAGGTATAAAAGCAGCATATCCTAAATACATAAAATATATACAGTTTGAAGACAAATTTAACAACCAAAAACAAGTGTTTGAGAACTGTGTATTAAATACCCATATAGTTGCATTCACCACATATGTCACACTTCATATGTACAAAAATTTTACACCATCATGCAATCAATGAATCAGGAAAAGAAAATATGCAACATTTTTCTATAGTAGTGCAGAGTTCAATGTAACATATTTTTTCATTCCTAATTATTTTCATCAATTTACATTTTAACCAACATAAAGTTTGATATATCCTACTTCACCATTCACAATTGATTTCACCCATTGATAGTAGCAGGATTTTTAATCCTGAATAGTAAAATATTCTTGTCTGCAGAGCTTTCACTTTTCTATTGTCTTATGTTCGCACTTTTCAGATCTCTCTTCTTTCAAGAAATACTTTTGCACTGGTGTAATTATTAACAGTACAGGATGAATGATTGCTATAGCTAACAAAATGCTGTCAAACACATTCACCTAAAAAGAAATCGTCAGGAGGTTATTTATTCATGCACTAAACTAATCACAGCTACTTAAAATGATAGGCTGAAGCACTATGTAAATTTCTGTAAACTATATCACGCACATTGCAGTTTCATATACTATATTTTGACTCCGTTTTTAGTTTTGTCAATTGTAGCTCGATAGGAAGTTTCATAATGATCTGCTTAAATAAAAGCATATTTTTGGGAGTTGTAAACTAATATTTAAGTGAGGAAAAAACACAGATGCTATTGAAATTGACAGCACTGAGAACAACAGTTTTCAAAAGAAGTTTTGTGAGTTGGAACTTTTTTTTTTTTAAACAGTAATTATTTTTGAAGCCTGTTACAGGCTTCTGTCCTAACAAGAATCTATTTTCTATTTAATATTTTGGTTATCTCTATAAAACTATTTAAGTAAAATGTCAATAAAAAAATAGCAAATTTAAAAATAAAGAAATTTCTAAAAGCAATAAATTGCACTGAAGCAGAAATGAGTGTACTATAGTTTCAGTACTATAAACAAGAACTTTCCTCAGTGTCTAAACGTCAAATAAAGGTTGAGAAGTGAGGAGACAAACCACCTGCAAAGTGGTTTTAACCGATAGGGACAGAGGAACAAATATGAACTAGGTAATAAAAAGATAAGAAACGGGTATGTCTGGATTTGGCGGGAACCCCTGAGTTTAACAGATCAAATTAAAATAGACTTCTAAATATTGGGAAACGGTGGGACACTCGTAAGATCAATAACTAAATTATTAGAATTTTTCAAAGTGTAAAATGACTCTCAAAAGTCAAGTTCAGTAGGTGAAGAGCAGTGTTGAATGATTTTAGTAGAATAAAATTCAAATCTGTGATTTGAATTCCAACTGTGTAGAGCGATAGATGATTAGTTAAGATCCTGATTTTGGACGTATCTTTCGTGCTCTTTTAAGTCGAAGTTTACGGGTAAGTTTGGAACCTGGTTCGAATCCCAGTCGATACGAATTCGGCATCCGGCTTTCACCGACCACAGCGCTGATGTGAAATATACTCAGTGGTAGACGGATCGTGGGTTAGAGTCCCCTTACCGTGGGAGGTTCTCGTGGTCTTCCTCTCCATGTAACGCAAATGCGGGTGAGCTCCATCAAAAAGTCCTCCACGAAGGCAAATTTCTCCCAATACTCGATCCAGGAGTTCCCTTGTCTTCTGGATTGGGTTCAAAATTACGAGGCTACGGAGTTGAACATTGGTAGTCATAAACCCATGAAATTGGGTCGACTGTTCAACGACGGTTATAAAATAAAAAATTATAAAATATATGCAACTAGTTAGGTCAAGTAAGCGATTCAAAGTTTGAACCCCTTAATTTTCATTTCTTGCGAATTGAAAATTTTTTGTCCAAAATTAGAAAATTCGTCTATCAAAAGATAATTCCATACAAAAAAATAATTCAAATAAATATTCAATAATTTTTCAATTTAATAATAGTCGAAAAAATTTTGAATTGTAAGGTATACAATTTTTTACATCATTATAGAGAATGTAATTTTACATAGTCGTGGATACAAACAACACTCAAATACAAACTTTAAGCGAAATCTGTCGAATAGTTCCTGAGAAATCGAATTTTAAATGTAAGACTTTAAAATTCGAATTCTTAGGAACTTTTAAAACCGATTTCGCTTAAATTTTGTATTTTGCTATGTAAAATAACATTCTTTAAAATCACGTAAAAAATTGCATGCCTCCCTATTCTAAATTTTTGAGTTCAGGTATAACAAATAAGATATATAAGCCAAAATTAAGTTCTCTAAGTATGTTTTCGCTTTGTTCTACAATTCTTAATTACAAAATGAAACAAGTTTGAACAGAAAAGTTTAGTGATTACAACACTTACATAGAGGACGCTTTTTGGAGACGATGCTTCCCATAGGAATAGGGGGAACTGGAAGAGACTAGCTATGGCTGACATAGTGCTCATGATTCCGAGCAGTTTGTTGAAATGTTCTGCTGGAAATCTGAAATGAATATATATAAATATTGTAAAATAGTGCAAAAAATTTGTGTGTTCACTAAAATGTGCAATCGCTATATATTTCTTTTTAATTCCTTGAGACTTCTACATTTGTTTTTTTAAAAATTTCTTCATCAATTGAATTTCTCCAACCATTCATATTTTGATTACCTGCATGAATTTTAGTCTACGTTTTTAGATTTCTTAAGGAATGGTTATCGCTATTAATATTTTAGTGTTTAATTTAGATTATGTAGATTGCATTTCGAACATACTGGGTTGTTCGGAAAGTAATTTTTTTCTTCTCGGTGGAGGACTGCATTGTATTTTTTCACAGCCAATTTAAAATTGGCGCATAATCATTATACATTTTGATAGCTGATATAGCAAGGTTTAAGGTTTGCTTGTGGAAAACTTCGTTTGTGTCTACGCTTAAGTTTTAGTTGATGCTTTTTCAAATATGTAAAGTGAAAAGCAGCATTTTATGCATATTTTACTATCGGAAAGGTAAAAATGCTATTCAAGCAAGAAAAAAATGCGATGTGTATGAAGATGTATCGACAGTAGTCCAGTGCCAAAACTGTTTTGTAAAATGTTGATGATGAAGGCACAATAAATTCAATGATTAACGACGAACCGGTGAATAACAACTCTTTTGATCACTCGTAGATTAAATTTATCGAATCCGACCATTCGTGATCAATTTAAACGCCACTAGGTTTAATCTCAAAGCTCGACTTATGGGTTACTTATCAGGGGTCTGTTTAGAACAAATTTGGGTCCGTTAACGGACCCTTCACAAAATATCTTTTCATTAAAACGGACCCTTCACAAAATATTTTAAGTTAAAAACGGACCCTTCACAAAATGATTTTCTTTTAATCGGACCCTTCACAAATTTGTTTATCTTCATTATTGTTTTATTAATCGAATAAACCCTTCCCAGGGCAGAAAACAAGAAAGATGGATGTAAACGAATTAAGTTTTGTCTTCGGCAGACGCTTCTTCCATAATTCGTACGAAATGAATATTCTGCGTTCAGCAGTATAGGCTAAATACCAAATATTTGTATGTTTCATCTCTAATTTAGAATGAGAACTTAATTTTTTTAATTAAAATTTTACAGTCCCGAGCATAATTTTGCGTCTATTTACAATTTTAAAAACTCCTTGAAAAAGTTTTTTGCTATTACCGGACCCTGGTTGAGAGAATGTGAGTAATTTTTTCACAATTTCACGAAAACCGGACCTTTCACAAAATGTTTGGACAGACCCCTGCTTATGTTCTTATTCAATTGAAATTTGTACCGTCAAGTTGAGAGAAAAGTCAACCATTTCTGATGTTGGACCAAGTACCATGCAACTGATTAAAAAATTTTCGAAAAATTATTCAATCAGCCTGAATTTACTTTTCGATTATTGCAGTGAGTTTGCTCTTATGCCGGGACTTTAAATTGGGAAGTATGCATGTTTTACTTTTAATTTATTCTTTTTATTTTAATCCGTTTTAACAAGCCGTTATTTTGCTCGATTTGTTTCAATTAATGTTTTATAAGGTTCTTAACAACACGCTTTAACCTTTCGAGGTAAAATAAATCAGTTTAACTGAGATTTGGATGATATACTTTTTAATGTTTCTAAAGGTATCTAGGCTCATTGCAATAGGCCTAAAAATGTCGGTCTGACTGGAAAATATTGAAGATTTTTTTCTCTATTCGCTTGACGTATTACAAATTGACGTTGGCTCTCTGTAAAGAGCTGGATTTTTCAATTCACCTATGACATATATCTATACCGAATGTTGTTCCAATTACAAAACGAAACTCAAATATAAAATTTTTGATATCAACAAAATATGCAAAACCTTAAAATTCTACTTACCGTATTCGCAAATAAGCAGTTCCAATTGATAGAAAGAAAGCTCTTAGTAAAGTAACTGCAACTATAGAAACATATATTGCAATCCTTTCATTGAAGAACTTGCAGATTTGAGCAATCACTTCCAACATTGTCGTTAAGAACATGGGCCAAAAGCATGAGCGTATCACGCTTAACATGGTTGTCGCTGAATCCGGATTGTCATCTTCTAAAATAAAAACCTTTTTTTTTTAATGGATTCTTTTTGATCTGAATGAAACCGTCATGTTAGAATTTTCTAGAAAAACATATTTAGTGTAATAAAGACTTATTTTAAAGCAAAGCACTGTCATCGATGTTAAGTATCTAATTTCTAAGAAAATTCATTATTTCTAAATCTACGACATGGTGGCATTGTGAATTTAAGTATTCCAAGTACGTTAAGATTGCTTTTTAGAATTATCTAAATCGGTATTCATCAGTTGAAATAATAATAAACGTAAATTTTAAGAGATCTAAATGCACAGTATTTAAGTACCTCGGCTGGATGTGTAGTGGCCAGGGAGCTAACCTCACATTCGAAAGTTCCTGGGTTCGAATTACGGATGTTCTTTCATTCTCTGAACTATCTGTCCTTACTGTAGGAGCAACTTTGGCCTACCTTATATGGTGCCCTTGAAAGAGTGGCCAATAAATCTGCCCTGCTGATACTTGAATGACGAGTGTCAATCAGATTGTCATTTTTTTTTAAAAAAAGGTATTAAAGTACCTATTTAGGCCGGGATGGCCTGGTTGGTAGGGCACTGGGCCCATGTTCAAGAGGTCGTTGGTTCGATCCCTGCTGACCGAAGACTCTCCGTGTAGTAAAATGGTGACTGATGCACGTTAAATCTGTCGAGTCACAAAGTCCTCCATGTTCCCATAATAAATCTATACCTCCGGGAGTACTCATCCAAGAGTTTCCTTGTCTTCTGGATTGGTTTAAAATTACAAGTCTACGGAGTTGAACATTAGTAATCGTAAATCAAAAAATTGGGTCGGCTGTTCAACGATGGTAATATTTACAATTCTGCAATTAAAATTTTTTGAAAGGTTGTTTTACTATTAGACTTTTTTGGATTTTTGATAAATACGCTTTCGTATACGGAATCCGCTTTTTGCTTGCTTTCGTTCAATTTACGTTAAGACTGCTTTTTAGAAATATCCAAATCGGTTTTCATCAGTTTAAATAATATTAAAAGTAAACTTAAAATTTTTAAATGTATAATTTTATTGCTGTATATGCTTGGAAAAAATTCGTAGAAGTTCTAAAAACTATCAAGCGTTATTCTGATCTAACGAATGTTTACTGTGAAGGAAGGAGTTTACTGTGAGGAAAATTTCATTGTTGAATGATATTTTATCATAAAAAGCCTCACCCGAGATCGAGAAGGGAGCTTAGGCAACAATAATAAGTATATTGGTATATAATCACAATCATATAAGTATATAATCATAAGTAATTTGTATTTTCTATTTTTCACCAGATTTTGTTAATCAGTTCGGTAGAAAAATTGATTTTTAATTTAAAATTGATCGACTGTCACTCATTTATTAGAGTTTCATTGCATCGCTTTTTACTTTTTCTTAAACTTGAAATAATTTTATTATAGTTATAGACTTATACTGGAATTTCGCCATAGCTTCCCTAACTATACAGTTTTTTTTACGGCTTCTCAAAAATGGAGTGAAAAAGTACACACATTAGCTGTTTCAAATTCATTTTTTAGTTAGAAAAAAGCTAAAAACTTCATCGAAATATCACAGATTACTGCTTAGGATGATAAAATTGAAAACATCAAAACCTATTTGATTGCCGGAAAAAAAAGAGAGGCGATTATAATGAACATTTCAAATTTTCACCAGGCAATCAAACTGTTTTTGATGTTTTCCATCCCTTTCTTCCTCAAGCACATTCGACAGATTTCGAAGGTGTTTTTGTTTTTTCTATTTTTACTTGAAAATTTGAGGCATCTAATGCGTATATTTCTTTAAATTCATTTTTGGACTAGGATTCTAAAAAAATATATTTAAAGGTGGTTATTTCGGAACACACTGTATAACAGTAAGTAGCAATAATAATACATTTATGATAAGATAGATATTCTCAAAATATGAAAGAAAAAAAGTGAATCATTACTGCTTTTTTTAGTTACCCTCCTTATGCTCCAATCCATGAAAATGCCGCCAATTGGAGCCAAAAACAAACCAGTCACTTGAAAGAGGCCATATAATTCCGAAAAGAATGCATCTACATGAAATATAGAAGAGTTTTCAGTCATAGAATAACATAAAGTACTATTTATGTTCAAGGCACTCATAAAACATAATACTCCATGGTAACCATATACTATGGTAAGCTCTTCGGGCAAATGTTAGTCACTCAGAGAAATCATAGCAAGCCAGGGACAAAACTATGGCGTAATAGAAAAAAGTCAGCGGAAGTGAAAAAAAATTCACAATTGAGATTTTTATATGTTTGGTATTTTTGTATGATAAGCTACTTATTGCGAAAAAAAATTTAAAGAAAGTTTTATTCAGTCTGTTTTTCGAAATTGCATTTTAGCGTTCATAGTATTGGCAATGGAAAAGAAATAGTTGTCATTGTCGAGCCACGTTTCTCGAAATCTGTCGAAAAACACTGACGTTCTTTTTTCAAGTGCACAACAGAAAAAAGTCTGCTGGTTTGATGTGTTAATTATTATTTTTATTTTGGATTTGGACCGTTTACTGAGATGGCCACTAACGTGAACCGCTTTTTTTTTTTTTTTAAATTTCGTATGATCAAGTGTTGCCGTTTAGTCAGTATCTCTATAATAAGTATGTTGTTGATAATCATATTTTTTCAATAAAAATCATTGGACTGGCAGAATGACTTGTTTTATGAATGTAACACATTCTATTACATCTTGAATAGTCTGCAAAATCATCCTGATTTGAACGTTATAAAGAATCTAAGACGTATTAGAACAGTTTTCAAAAGCCAAAATTATCATCAATTTGATTGTTTTTAAGCTTCAGCGAGTGGTTTAAACTAGGTGGCTCACATACCTGTAACATCTTGTGGTCTCGTTTCCTAACAGAATCCTAGCTCTTAATTATTTCCACAGGGGTAACTAGTTTCTAAATACTGTTGTTAATAATAATTTGTGGGGAAAACTATTTCCTTAAATTACAAAAGGAATAGTTTAAATGAAATAAATGCTACAAGGTGCCTTACTGAATCTGGAATTTCAAAAGTATTATAAAAAGTGAATGATTAGTTTAAAGTGCTTTAAATATACAAGAATACATAGTAAACATAAAAGCATCTAGCTTTCATACTTAAATAAAAGAGCGTATAATCTTTTTCCGTATGCGCTGGGCAAGTCTTTTGGTAACATTAGCCAAAGATGCCAGCAGCTCCGAAATCGACAAAATATTATAAAAAACAATAGAGAACTGCAAACTAAAATTTACAGATGCTTGGTTAATTTTGCCAACTTTTTGAAAGTCTCGACACGGATTAACTGTAGCAAAGTGGCGTATTCATAAGCCTTTGAAGAATTATTCAGAAGTAGTGATGAGTAAAAACTCTATAAATCGAATATACGAAACCAAGAATCATACAATAAAAGACTATCACTCGTAAATATTTATCAGCTGGCCTGAACAAGTTAGCACCTCTGCAGCACCCTATAGCAATATCTTTTCAAGATCTAACGCTGAACCATCACGCACCATTTTTATAAAATACACTCTTAAGTATAAGTACATCCTATTCCTGTCCATTGCTCCATCGTAATTAAAAAGCTTTTTAAATGTTTGTTTAAGATAGTGGTATAGAATCGTTCTCCTCATTCTAGCTCTACCAAAACAAGAGCTGTTGTTAATTCGTCTGATTCCCTGTCGCAATTTGTATTCAATTGCTTATGAATATAAAATACAATGTACAAATGAAAGAATGCTTCAAACCTTCATCTCGATCAGTCGTAATCCTTTCAGACCATAGATGGAGAGTTCCAACATAAATGATAGTGTAGAGCAACAACCAACAAAACCAATACTGGTGCAACAAATAGGAGACGGAAAATAAAGACTCACGAAGTGGTACGGATTTTGTTGAATCAACAGAGACCTGTTTATCTGAAAAAAATATTACTAATTAAATAAAATTATGCAACTGAAAAGCAATTTCCATTCTCCAATCATTACATAGTAGAGAATAGAGATGGAAGAGCAGTTATAGAATATACGGGTAGATGAAATACGGGCAGTTACTGAATATACGGGTAGATGAAATACGGGCAGTTACAGAATATACGGGTAGATGAAATACGGGCAGTTACAGAATATACGGGTGGATGAAATACAGGCAGTTATAGAATATACGGGTATGGGGAATATCAATTAAGACATTTTAAGCTAACACTATAATCACCTAAATCTAGTAATGTAAAGTTTCACGAAATGGCAAAAAATAATAATAATTCTCGGACTTTTTTAATTGTGTCGGTGTATAATTTTTAGTTTTGTGCGTGATTACGTAGCCTGATTCGTTTACTACTGATTCCGATTCGTTATAATTCGAATTAATACTGATTCGTTGATTTTTAGCGAAGTTTTTTACATCATAGGAAACACGGATATTCAGACAGTTAAATAATAAGCAAGCTAATATGTTTAAGTAATTAATGAAATTTAGTTTTAGTAAAATTTACTGTTTCTGACAAGTGATAGCCTGCCAACGTTTCTTACCATTCACACATTGCGCTCACCAAGTTGAACCGACTTTTTTGAATAAAAACTCTAAATTGAATGTGATTAAACCCTATTCGATAGGATAAATAGTTAAGAAGTTAAAAGGATTTTCTATGTATTAAAAACTCGTAAAGGAGGGCTGACGCCACTGTTTTGGGTGTTCAACATAATGTTAAATTTTGTTACGTTGCAATAAAACTTAGAAGCTTGAGATCACACAGGTGAGTTGAAAATGTACAGGGAGTACGATGAAACAAATAACTTATCATTTGACAATTAGTTCGATGATAATTTGTAAAACTTGTACAAAAAAGCACCATGCGGGCCGTTGCTTAGGCTGCTTTTGATGGAACTAACCTGCATTTGCGTTACACAGCAGTGTGGGCTATTAGCGACGATTTTTTTTTAGATTTTTATTTTACAACCATCGTTGAACATTCGTCCCAATTTAGAGTTTACTGCTACCAATGTTCTACTCCATAGCCTTGTAATTTTGAACTCAATCCAGAAGACAAAGGAACTCTTGGGTCAAGTATAGGGAGAAATTTGTTTTCGTTTAAAACTTTTTGATGGAACAAATCCGCATTTGCTTTACATGGAGAGGAAAGCCTACACCCGTTACCCCGACTGCAAGGGGACTCTAACCTATGACCCGTCTTCCATTGAAGATATTTTACGTCAGCACTGTGGTCGGTGTGAGCCGGGTGCGGAATTTGCATCGATCAGTCATCTCTGGGATTCGAACCTGGTTCACCTCACTAGAAGGCGAACGTTCTATCCCCTGAGCTACCACGGCTCATTTACGACGGTTTGGGACGGAAACATCCCTGAGGATGATCCGAAGACATACCATCACAATTTTGATCCTCTGTAATCGGCTTCGGTAGCTCGATAACCTGCTCCCGAAGTCGAGCATTTCACGGTAAAACAGTTTAACGACTACCGATACCGAACACCCTCTGTTCCTTTTGTAGGCAGACCAAAGTATTTACTCACCCGCACACTGACCGCAGCTACTAATGCTTGACTTCGGTAATAAGCTGGGAATCGTGTCTTAGCTATTAATCCACTGCTGGATGATATAGCTTTAAGAATAATTATTATTAGAATAATTATTAGAATTTAAGAATATTATTAGAACCAGAATTCCAGATTTAATTATATTGGTCCTCGTTAAACTGTTCTACCGTAAAGTGCTCGACTTCGCGTGCAGGTCGTCGGGCTACCGAAGCGGGGGTGCCATCCCCCTGCAGAGGATCAAAATTGTGATGGCATGTCTTCGGATCATCCTCAGGGATGTTTCGCCAATAGCCCATTGTGCAGCTCTAGTGCGGCCTAAATGAACAACAACAACCAAATTTAATTATTTTTTTTAAATGTTTAAAGCTTGTATTTTTCTTTTTGTTGCAAAACAATAAAAAAATTTTCAAATTCCTATACAAATTACAATTTTTGATTGACAAAGATGGGTGTAAAACTGAATGTTCGGAAATTTTTGAAACTTGACTACCATACTTTTTTTTCTTCCATTTTTGAAAAGGAACATGTTGCTACAGTTTCAAAAGTAACAGTAAAGTAACAGACCTAAATATTTTCTTAAAATGTTTAAAAACTGAAAATTAAATATTTCCTTTTGTACCAAACCGTTGATAAATGTTTCTTATTCATGTATATCAATCACTTTAATGAAATATTGAAATGATAAAAAAAAGAAAAAAAAGTAACAGAGAGATGGAAAAAACATATTTATTCATTGTGTTTCTCCTGTTATCGCATTATTTTGTGTCTTAATATAAGTTTTTTCACCTTGTAATTTCCCAGGCTGTATTATTTTTTAAACGAATACAAAACTGTTTAATGTCCTTTTACAATAGAAAGTAATACCGCTTTTACGATACATTGCATAGCTGATGGACAACCAAGGTCAAAGTCATAATTACAGAGTTTGTAAAAAACACGTGTTTGACCAACTGTTACATGGGGCGTGAATATATCAATACATCAAAAGACAGATTAACGCTGTTTCTGAAAATAGAGTACAATTTAAGCTAACATTATCGTCGGGGGTCTTTCATAGTGAAACGTTCAAAAACAATCCGGTTTTTTCATTTTTTAGGATTGAAACTTTTTCTCATTCATTGCTTGTTTGTTAAAGCAAGTTTTAGACGGTTGTTGTCATAACGTGTTTTAGCCATTTTTAAAAATCTAACAAATTTACAAGAAATAAAGAAATTAGCCGAACTGCATAACACATTCTACACTATTATACAGGGTTATTCATTATCTGGACCAGTGGTTTCCAGCTGGTGGCCCGGGGGCCGCATCCGGCCTGCGAAGCCTTTTTTTGTGGCCCGCGAAATAAAATGTATTAGTTGTCCTTTTTTGTGGACAATTTTCGTAAAAAATCTATATGGGTTTAAAATACTTTTCTCGTTAATAAAAACCTAATTTCTTCGTTTCTATGAAATTTGTCATACCAACGGTGCAAAAAAAATTATTTCTCAAATTTTGCATTCAAGAAAATATTTATTCAAATACAAAAATAATCGTGTATGTTGCTCTTTTTTATTTCATTTTTTTTTTTGTATTTTGTGAATATAATTTAGCATGTGCGCATCAGAATTTTTCTCGATGAAATTCTCCGATTTAATTTTTTGAAACCACTCATTTTGGACGAAAATATTTACACACACATTTGTAGATTTAAAATTTAAAATCTAACTATCTATTCTCTGGTGGTTGCAGTAGACAAACCTCAATTTTGTCATTGAACATTATGTGTGCTACTATGTAAGTTTTAATACCAACCTTTTTAAAGCTTTATATCTTAACAATTAGATATCTGTTGCACATTAATTGTTTAATACAGGGGTGCACATTAAAGTTATTGTAGCCCGAATTTTTTAATATGCAATTAAATATTTTGAAAAATCTATTTCTTATTTTAATTTGTAATTCAATACTTTTGTTTTGTACAACTTGGTAAAAATCTGACAGTAATATTTAATGTTCCTTCAAACATAAAAGAGTTGTACGTAAAATTTTGATAAAGTTGCGGCCCGCCATTTGATTTGTGTTTTTAATTATGGCCCCCGGCCTCATGTAAGTTGGAAACCCCTGATCTAGACTTCAGAAGGATTTAAATAACACTAATAGTAAAACTATGCACATATATTAATAACTTTTGAAATAAAGATTGGGTCTTCTCGTCTTAAGATGCTATCTTAATGATTCGAGGGCGAAGAACTGACTCAGAGGTTGCATAATTTCTCATAGGGTACTATCTAAACGACCGAAATGAAGTACGCCAAACTAACATCATTCCATTCCGCGATTGAGTTTATTAATTGTTTTTAGCTGTGAGCATGAGACTGTGCTCAGAAAAAGTTATTTCAAAACTTTGAAGCAGAATTTTTATTAAGCCTACGTTTTTATTATTTTGTAATTAATTTAAGTCAAAATAAGTGAAAAATATTACATCTAGCATTTTAATAATTTATAGTTACGAAATACAGCATTAAATACGGGTGTCTTTTTCTGCGTTAAATATAAAATTTTTTTAAACGAGGCTCACTTCCGAACAATTTTTCAAATTTCCAGTTATTTAGAAAGAAGAGAAACAGTTATTCATCATTGAAATTTATGTAATTTAAACAATCAATTATTGATAAATTTTTGAAAATTTCTTTTTCGGATTTTATATTTAAGTACAAATATAATTCTGAAATTTTAACAGATTTTTCAGTAACTATTAGATAGTTTTTTTTATATTTAAAATTTCCAAAATATCTATAATAAAAATTAAAGGTGTCCCATCTGCGTCAGAGGGTAAAAATTGTAAATTTGTACTAATTATTAATATTCTATTCTAATGCAACTTAAAAAAAATCCTGATTTTCGAATATATTCATTTTAAAGCGAAATTATGAAAAGCTTTTATTGAATATGAGAAATTTTTTTTTTTATCAACGTTACGTTTTATCTTCTATCATTATAGCTGAGAAAGATTGAAAATCGTGTAGATATCAGGGGATTGAGCACCTACTTAAGAAAGTAAACATCACGAGAAAAAACGAGCATTTCAGAACACAGAATAATAAAGAATATTGACAGAATCGCAGATGAAAAGAAGTAGATTGGAATAATTTCTAGGACCTTTTGTTCAGAACTGTTTATTCCCAAAACAGAATTTAAGATATTTCAGGTACTTTTTTTAAGCAATGTCTATTCCAAAAACTAGAATGGAAAAAATTTCTGATACTTTTTTTTCTCCCAAAAATGTCGATTTGTAAAACTAGATTAGAACTATTTCTGGAACTTTTTTTCTTCTTCAGAAATCTCTATTCCTAAGACTGGATTAGAACAACTTAGATTTCTTTTTTCTT